CCATTCCGGGCCAAGCTGCTGGCAGTGCGCGCGCCACGGCCTCGGGAGGAGCTGAACGTTCCTGGGGATCCGTCTGGATGTGGAGCGCGGGTTAAACATAACGTACGAGCGCTGCTCCTCTCATTGCTTCCAATTAAACCTTGCTTGTTAGTTTAACCTCTAGGTAATCCCATCAAACAATTGATGTCAAGGAAACACTGCCCACAGTGGCTCTGGATGAGTGGCCATTAATTTTAATTGCCTTGATATTAAAGATTAAGAAGTATTGGGACTAGCAGAATGGAAACGATCTGATGTCAAGCAAATCCACTCGTTGAGGCTTCCCCAGGCTGCTGGTGATATTAAAATTTTACTGTGAGGATTAAATAAACCTTTATTAGCGATGGCTGTTGTTTGATTGGTCCAGGGGCGTGCATAAACACAGGGTCTCGCGCACGTCCGCGGACAATGCGGTTGATGTGCAGAGATTCCTCAATTAGGATACTGTTAATAAAGCATAATCTGATTGTACACAATAATTATTTGCTGGGTTTCATTAATGCATTATTGCTTCTCTGACTGACAAGGTGATATTAAGTGCAATATATAGAATACAGTGGAGTATTGTCTGGGGAGCAGGATATGTAAGGTGCTTTCCGTGTTACCGGTAAAAATTAGAGGCTTTGCGTTAATTGTGGTTACACAAAGCTGTGCTGCATCAGATGCAGCAGGATTTGACCCCTGCCCCTCAGGGTGCTGTGTGGGCAGTGTGGCAGGACCCACGGCTGGGGGTAACCACGGCGCTCACGCTGCTCCCTGCCCTCCATCCCTGGCTTGGTGCAGATGTGTTTTTGTCTCTGCACTTTGGCCATCGCCCGTGTTCCAGCCTGGGTTTGTTCTTTAGGAGCTCTGCTACAGCAGCTGAAGTGAGACAAAGCCCTGAGCAGGACTGTAGGAACTCTGCTGAGCGGCCCCAGCCGTGACCCCATGTGGCTAGCATCCAGTGCCCTGGGAGCCAGCCTGGCTTCAGCACAACATCTTCAAAGGGGGAAGACAAAGTGACTTTTCAGCCATTATTGATTTATATGATGCCTTTCATTTTCAGCCAACCAAACACGATTCTCTGAGCCAGGGTTGTTCCAGCCCAAAAGTACAAAACAATTGCTCTCGCTGCCCCGCTCACCCTCACTCAGCCGGACCTTGGTCCCCCCGTGCTGCTTTGGGGTCTCGTACCACTTTTGTTGACAAATGGTCCATGGAGAGAATGCTGTGCTCAGTGGAACAGCATACTCCAGGGTCCATGTCATCACCCTTTGCGCCTCAGTTTGCCAGCAGAGCAGCAGAGCCAGATCTCACAGACATCCGTAGTGAGGTTTACCCAATCCTGGGTTAGCACTCTGACCTGGAGCAGATACGGGTCGGGGGTTGGAGCACACCTGTTTGCTGGCCCAGACATGACGCTTTGAAGGGCTCCCACTTTGCCAGGCCAAGTGCTTAATGTCCCTCACCCTTCCCTCCTCTGTCCACTGCAGGTGTCCAACTGGTTTGGCAATAAGAGAATCAGGTACAAAAAGAACATTGGGAAGTTCCAGGAAGAAGCAAACCTGTATGCGGCGAAGACGGCGGTGACCGCAGCGCACGCCGTGGCCGCGGCCGTCCAGAACAACCAGACCAACTCCCCCACCACACCAAACTCTGGTACGTACCTGGCTGCTGCGCTCGAGTGTCCTGAGGGGCTCTCTGTCACAGAGGGCCCTGTGTGCCCCCATCGGGATGAGGAGGATGCTGCTCCTCAGCCACCCAAATTGTGGCACAGGGAGTGGTCCCAAGCCCAGGAACATCCCCTGAAGGCCAAGAGCTGCCGTGGGTGCTCCAGCAGCTCCACTGCGAAGCTCCCACGGCGAGGCCCACACAATTCCCACAGTGTAACTGCCTGGCTCAGGCTTCTGGCACTTGCTTTGTTTCTGTAGATATTTTAAGCTTTTTCTTGTTCATTGAAAAGAACAAAACGGGGCAGAGCTCCAAGTCTGGTTTTGTGGAACTGTTAAATTTATTGTCAACAAAATAGAGGAATATTTTAGTGTGTGCTAATTAGAATTTGAACTCTGGATGGCTTGAAATGGAGTTGCTGTTATAAATAGAAATCTAAGGATGCAACTTTAATTTGGAGTTGCTCTGCCACATGTTCTGCTGAGTATCTAAGCATCATCTTGCTGGTGTGTTGATGGCACTTCAGAAATCTGAGCATTGCACTAGTCAGGGAGTGTGTGAGGGGGAGTCACTTCTCTGGGCTCCAGCAACAAAGGTTGCCACGAGCACAGATGTGTCTGATGCTGTTTGCAGTCAAGTTTTGCTGCAACTCAGTTGTAGACAACCTTTAAAGGGGATAGGGATCCATGAGGAACAGAAGACGTTAACCAAAAGAAAGTAAGAGAAAGGTTCCTCCTGTGATGGTAATAAATGGGATAACCGGGAACTGGCAGCCGTTTCCTTTGGAAGGAGGCTCAAAATGAGTTTTTCT